CATGCGCACATACATACAAACAAACACACACAAATACACATACAGGTACAAACATACATACATACATACTTACAAACATACATACGTGCATACATATGCAACAACGGCTATAAACATTTCAATTATCAGGCTGACCGTGTCAAAGGTTTTCAAACATACATGCAAAAAAAACTTAAAAAATACATACATACATAAACACATACATACAAACAAACAAACAAAACCACAAACAAACATACATACATACGTACATTCATACACACATATCAATGCATACATATTAACAAAGATGCATATATACATACATACCTAAATACGTACATACATACAAACAGACGAACAAACATACATACATATACATAAATACACACATACAAACATACATATTTTCATACACACAAGCATACAAACATACATACAAACAATCAGATATAACTAGCCACATAAATACTGATTTGAAGAATATTGTCTGTTGAAAATTTTGCATTATCTAGACAGACTCGCTCATTATGTTGCTACTAATATAACAACTTTTGTTCATTCATTTATTCCTTCATTCCTTCCTTCATTCATATAATCGTTCGTTCGTTCATTCATTCATTCATTCATTCACTTATACGCACATCAATTTTATATGTTACATTTCTATATTTTACATTTCTACATTCTGTTGGACATTTGTATTAAAGCTAAAAACATAAAATAGAACATAAACACTTACACACACGCACACGCGCGCACGCACACACACAGACATACATCGGATTTGCCATAAAGATCGCATTATAGATATGGATTAATAAATAATATTCAGTCACCCTGCCATCATTATCATAACTCACTTAGAAATGTTTTTTCCGACATTCTCTTCTTATTTTTCTAGTTTCGTTTTGTTATTTTGGTAATATAAATTTTTTTTGTTTTTTTTTAGATGCATTCTCTGTAGAAATTAATTTTACTTAATAGAAAAATTTTGTTCCATCAATTATTCATTCATTCATTTTTACATTCATTTATTTATTCACTCATTCGTTCATTGGTTTAATTGTTTGTTTATACATTCATTTATTCGTTCGTTCGTTCGTTCGTGCATTCATTCATTCATTCATTCATTCATCCATCCATTCATTCGTTCCTTCATCGTCTTACTAATCCCGACATAAAATTCGCGATGTGGATAAGAACAAATTGTTGTTATTTTTGTTGTTATTATTGTTTATTATTATTATTATTATTGTTGTGTTGTTTATTATTATTATTATTATTATAGCTTATTATTATTGTTGTTTTGTCTTCAATAATTTATGACGCGGTCTAGCAATTGATAATGAGAGGCAAAATATCGCAATTAAGTTATCATTATTATTATTGTCAGGGCTGTTGTTATTGTTGTTATTGTTGTTATTGTTGTTGTTGTTATATTGTTGTTATTATTATAATTATTGCATTGATCATTAACGTTCTGCCGTCCATTTTATGTTTATCATCTATTGTCGCTTTTGTTATTATTGTTGTTATTATTGTTATTTTAATTATTATTTTGTTATTATTTCTTATTATCGTTTCTTTTGTGATGGGCGTCCGGACCCGCGGTTTTATTGTCTCGCTCGATTAATTTTCTATGTTTTTAAGGGCGATATTATGTCTATGTAAACAAAGCGTTATTGTTTTGTCTTTGTTAAGTTGTAATTTATCTATTTTTTTGAGGGGTGTTTTTTGTTTTGGTTTTTGTATATCTTCGTGTGAAGTTCTATAAGAGTGACCATTTTCCGATAACGTTTTAGTGTTTTTGTTGTTGATGTCTATGTTATTGTTGTCTATGTGGTTGTTTATGTTATTATCGTTATTTATGGTTTTTGGTTGTTATTGTTGTTATGGTTTTTATTATCGTTGACATTGTTGTTGTTGTTGTTGTTTGATGATGACGTCAAACGTCGGTGACGTAAGCAATCGATGTTATTGAATTCGTTTGTAGGTTTTCTTCAAAATGTGTCAGAAATATTTTTTATATATGTGGCGTGGGAAGGAAAAAACAGCGGCCATGATGTTGTTGATGATGATGGTGATGACGACGATGATGGTGATGAAGTTGATGATGATGGTGATAATGGTGACGATAATGGTGATGATAGTGATGGTGATGATGTTGATGATGGTAATGATGATATGATTTTAACGATGGTGTTAATATTTTAACTGAACGAAAACAAACATACACACACACACACACACACATTATACAAACCTTATTCTCATCATTATTATCACTACGGATTGCTTTCTTTTTCTTCTTAACTTGTCTCTTCTTCCTATCCGCTCTCTCGTTTTCATCGATATCTCTCTCTAACTCGTTAACTCCTTTGTGTTTCCGGGAAAAAATTAATACTTGATTATACGTTTCTATGTAAATATGTGCTTGCGTGTGTGCGTTTGTGTGTGTGTGTCAGTTTGTGTGAATGTGCGCGTGTGTGTGTTTGTCAGTTTGTGCGTGTATGTG